AGTTCTGGGATAAAAGACATGCAGCGCTACCACCCGTCATCTTACATATTTTTATATGTATGAATATTTGCCTTCATGTGTGTCAGCACACCGCATACATGTGTGGAGGATGGAAGAGGGTGTTGGATCGCCTGGAGTTGGAGCAACAGATGGTTGTGAGGCATCACATGGGTGCTGGGAATTGAACTTGGGTCCTCTGCAATAGTAGTCCATGCCCCCAGTCTCTGTGCCATCCCTCCAGAACCCTATCCCATGTTTTTTGAGAGCCCACGCTGGTCTAAAACTAGTTTTATAGCCCAGGTTGACCTTGAACTTCTGATGCTCCTGCTCACCCCCCAAGTGCTGGCACGTGTGCACCTTACACACCTAGCATAAGGACCAGTTTTACAGATGTGGGGATGCGGGTCATGCTGCTGGCTGATGCACAGGACATACCTACACCTACAGCGTGTTGTCTTCCCAGAGCTACAGTAAGGAACACAGCCTTCTCCTTCTCTCACACCAGGGGACCCTGGAATGCCTCGCGCCCCCCCCCCCCACTCAATCCTCTTACCCATCTGGACCTCATTCTTGGGTCCACCCTTTTCCTCCACTCTTCTAGTCAAAATGTTTACAGGGAAAGTTGTGGAGCCCCAGAGGTCTATTGTCTGCATGGGGCTCCTCACTTAACCTGACTTAACAAGCTAAAATAAACTCAGGGGAGAAATGTTCATCCGAGTTCTGTCCCTAGGACCCATAAACATGGGGATGATGGGGCACAGTTGTAATCCCAGTGCTGGGGAGGGAGGGCAGGAGGGTCCCTGGGGCTCACTGGCTGGCCAGCCTAGCCAGGTCACCCTTAGCTAGTGAGGATGTAGGAGGCATGTGAGGAGAACTCCCCCAGGTTGGCCTCTGGCCTCTATAAGCAAGCGTGTGTGCACATATTTGCACCTGCCCTCGGGAGCACTCACAAAATCAAATCAAAGGGACACTCACTGTCATCACACAGCTCAGGGCTTCTTCATCACCACAGCCCACTGTCTCCAAACTCAATGTGGACAGTGAGCATCACCACCCCAGAGGGAAGTTCTGGTCCCATGGCAATGCTTCCTGACAGCTTTGCTCTGTGTGACTGAGGCACAATGGCTGTATTCAGGTATCATCTGACTGCCAGAAGGTGGCTGGACACCATGGAATGCACCCGTTCTGGAAACCTTGGCCCAACCCCACAGTGGCTTTCTCTTCCCTTGACCGCCCTCAGGACACCCAAGAACTGTGCTACTTCCTAGCTGCCCTGCAGGGTACCTAGCCCAAGGCCCCCAGGGGCCAAGAGAGGAAGAAGCTTCTGGGAAAGGATGTGGACAGAGGCTAGCATTTGTCTTCAAGGTATTCAGAGATGTGAGGGGGCATTGGGTGGGTGGGTGTTTGGTGTTTGTGTGTGTGTGTGTGTGTGTGTGTGTGTGTGTGTGTGTGTGAGCGTTTGCCTGCATGTATGTCTGGGTACCATGTATGTGAAGTGCCTGTTGGAGCCAGAAGAGGAGGTCAGAAACGGGGGTTAGAGATGTTTGCGAGCTGCCGTGTGGGTGCTGGGAACTGAGCCATCTCTGCAGCCCCTGCCTGGTTTTTTTGTTGCTGCTGTTATTATTTTGGGGCTTTTTTTTTTTTAAAATAAGGTCTACTTCTGTAACCCAGGTGGATCTCAGATCTGCAGTAACATCCCTGCCTCAGTCTCCCGAGTGCTAGCACAGGCATGTACCATCACACTGGCAAGGTTCTTGGGTTTGGGGTTTGGTCCTGGGAATGGAACCCAGCACACGCTAACTACATGTGCTATCACTGAAGTACAGCCTAAGCCCAGAGACAGGTATTTCCCGCGTAATAAGTGGGGGATGGGAGAACTGGCCATGGAGTTGGCCTTTACATTTTCCTCATCCATGGTTTCAACTCCCACCTACAGCTGGGACATCTCAGACCTCAACCTTCTGCTAAGTACCAACTGGGTCCCACCCTCAACACCTCGCTTCCGGAGGCCCAACATGCACCCAGACGCAAGGCTGCACTCAGCATCCCCTTTCCCGCCTGCGTGTTCTCCTGGGCTCCCTGTCTGCACGACTGCACCTTTCCTGCACCCTAGTCTTCAGACGGCGTGCCCAGGAGCCACCCTACCCATAAGCACTGGTCCCCAGTGTCTCAGCTGCGGCGCCCGCCTCTCATCCATCCTCACACAGAGCCTGCCCGGCCCGGGAAAGCCTCACGCTCAGAGTGGCCTCCGAGTGCCCACGAAGTCTGGCGCCAACTTCATTCATGACAAGGTTCGTTATGCCCTGAACTCTGCTCTCCTTCCAAATCACACCAGGCTGTTATTAGGCAGGACTTCGAACATGCAGTTACAAGGCCCACAGTCACCGTCCAAGCACCACCCTGAGACACCTTCCTAGTGATACCTGCACCCACCATCTCCCACTCACTCCTGTCACGGCCGGTGGTCCTTGGCCAGACCCATCAGGAAGCCAGTATATGTGTTTATTCACGCAACGTTTCCCTGTCCTGCTATGACAGCAGAGGCACACTACGGAAAAGAGACGGCACTACCCCAGGCCAAAGACCACCCTCAGAACAGATTTAAAGCCGGGCCCAGCTAGAGGCCATGGATGAAGCTGGACGACCCTATGGGGCTTGCTCATGTCCCCTGCCACCCACAGCACATCTTGCGGTGGTAATTACCCTCTTCTCATGGGACTGCAGGTATTTCCGGGTGTTTATTAGGTGGTGGGCAAAGTTCCAGAACGGTCCCAGAGTGACCTTGTTTAGTTTGCACAGCAACCTCAGGAGGGAGGAGCTGTTCTGTGCCCAGGTGACTAGCGTGGCCCAAGAAGCGAATTGCTATCCCAAAGCTGCAGAGCAGGGCCGCAGGGCTGTGCTGGCTGAGCCAGGATGCATGCGTCGATGGATGACACAGAGAGCCAAAGCGGACAGAGACAAAATGACACAAAAAGAGACACATGGACGAGACACAAAGACACAGAATGGATCCCTGAAGCGTTTACACGCTTCCCCACCCCCACCCAGCTAGGGCCCAAATCAAGGACAGGGGAAGGGTCTGTCGGAGGCGGAGGCGGTACAGGTCCCTGGTGGGCGGGGCCTGACTGCGGCGGGTGGGGTCTGTCTGTACATCAAGGCCTTCGGTGGTGGGCATGAAGGGTGTGTCTGTGGTGGGCAGGCCTTGTCTGCGTTGAAGGGGGCGAGTCCGGTCTGTGGGGGCGGTGCCTGTCTGCAGCGGGCACGGCCCGCGAACCTGTGCTGCCAGGTCAGCAGCCCCGAACTGCTCACCCCGAGTCATCGCAGAGGTCCACTATGAACGTCGTGCACACCTTCTTCCTGAAGATCTTAGGGATCCAGCTCTGAGAACCGGAACAAGAAGGCGGGGAAGGGACCCGGGTCAGCCTCGCGCGCCCCCGGGACGCCTTGGAAACGTCAGTGTCCCCGTCCCGCAGGCTCGGCCAAGCCCCCGCGCCCTCGGTCTGGGAACTGCTGGCCCAGCGCCCGCTGCGTCTGACCCCGATCGGAGGGGCTGGCGCCTCCTCTGGAACCCGCTCACACCCAACCCCGCGCTGTGAGATACCTGCTCCTTCTCCGGCCCCACCATGCTGCCGCCACGGCCCCTGGGGCTCCGAGTATTTCCTCCGGCAACCGACCCGCCCGACCAAACCGGATCCGCAACTTCGCTGCCTAGCCCGGGGCGGGGAGTCCTGGGGACACGTCACGGGAGGCGGGGAGAGGGCGGCCCGCGCAGCGGAGGAGGGACCGGCTGGGCTGCCCAGCCCGGATGGGGTCGGGAAGAGGGGACCAGAGACCCGGACTCGGAGGGCAGAGCGGCCAGGGGAAGGAAGGGGACAGAGTGGGCTGTGGGACAAACAGACTCAGAGAGGCACAGAGACTGAGGGAAAGATCGGAGAGAGACAGAGACAGAGAAAGGGAAGGGTGCAGAGACCCAGAGAGAGACCCGGGCGGGGACTGGGGGCAGAGAGAGAGAACAGAGATGCAGAGAGAATGAGACACCCAGAGATAGAGACGGAGAGAAATGCAGAGAGAGATGGTAGAGGACAGAGTCCCAGAATCAGAGAGACAGAGCAGGAGAGATCTGGGAAGACACAGGAGGAGTTGGGGGAGCAGGGGTGGGGTAGACTTCTGAGAAAGAACAGGGACCCTCAGGACCAGTGATTATAATGGGGGGGGGGCTTGATTCATTAAAAAAGAAAAAATCCCAAAGAGCAAGTGTGAGCCGGCCCTTGAGAAGGCAGTGGCGCCTGTCTCTTGCCAAGTCCCTTTGGTGGGGACAGCTGGGCCTAGTAACCTGAGTCCCCAGCGCCCTCCCCCATGCTGTATTTATAGCTCTGACCTGGGCCCCTGCCCCAGGTCTGAGTTCCAGGGACAGGAGGTCATGGGGTGTTGTGGACAGGTGTCCCTCGCTCTCCTCCACGGCCTCTGCATGTCACCCACTTTCACACCAAATGCCCCATCCTTGTCCCACATTCTCCATGATTGCAGGGGTCCCTTGGCTCCTACACACACCCCTCAGCTCCCAGTGCCCCAGGCTTCTCCCGCAGGGGACTCTCAAACTCCAGCCTTTGTCTTCAAGACGCCAAACTTGAGCTTCTGGGCAGTCCCAAGTCAAGTCCCTGCCCAGGGTCCTGGCCATGAAGACCCCTCCCCACCCAGTCCAGAGCCAGAGGAACAAGAGGGGAGGGGCAGGCAGGGAGTGACCAGAATAACTTAGGCTGAGGATAAATTTAGCCACAAGGAGGGAGGGGACAGACCCCATTGGCCCAGCAGTGGGAAGGGAGGTCCTGGAAAGGGTCACAGCTCTAAAGGGGACATCCTCAGAGAGGCATCCACGACCTGAGGAAGATAGACAAGCCAAGAGTGGGACCAATACCAGCGCCCAAGAGAAACAACCTGAAAAACAAGAAGGCACACGGCCCCATCAGGAGCGGCTGAAGCCAGGCTTGGGAGAAGCTCGTCTGCTAAGCATCCCCATGGGCTTGCAGGGGCCATGGTTGCATATGTGTCTCCTTTGGGCCACAGTGGCCAGCCTGCTGGTCCCTCCAGTGGTGACCCAGGAGCTGAGAGGGGCTGGACCGGGCCTTGGCAACTGGAACAACAATGCTGGCATCCCTGGGTCTTCAGAGGACGTGTCAGTTGAGTTCAGCCACCACATCCACAGCCATAGGAGCCATCAAGGTGAAAAGGACAGAGACCATAGAGCAGAGGATGAAGATTTCTCCAAGGAATATGGCCGCCAGCTCCACGATCACAGGTACCCTGGCCATGAGGCTGGAGAGGAGAATGCCTCTGAAGAGGTCTTCAGAGGGCATGTTAGACAGGCCCATGGGCACAGAGGACACGACAATGGAGATTTGGGGGACTCAGCAGAGCCTGACACCCACAGCCAGGAAGATGAAGATGAGGGTAGCATTGTCTCCAGTGAGAACCAGCGTGGCCATGGAGGGGAAGAGGGCGATGGAGAGCAGGGTGGGGTGGGAGTGGAGGAGGGCCCCGGCGGTAAACACCAGGCCTGTGATCGTCAGAGCCTCTCAAAGGAAGGGGGCAAAGAGGGTTCGGGTGAATACCATCATGCCCACAGCCACAGAGGCCACGAAGATGAGGACGAAGATGGTGATGCCACTAAGCATGGACACCAGGCCCACGGACATCGGCACCAGGAGGAGGAAGACGATGGTGGCTCCGATGGAGACCATCATGCCCAGAGCCACAGACAAGGAGGAGAAGATGATGACGATGGTGACTCCAGTGAATATGGACACCAGGCCCAGGGCCACCAAGGCTTCAAAGACAGAGAAGATGATGATGATGGTGATGAAGATGATGGTGATGATGATGATGGTGATGAAGATGATGATGGTGGTGATGACGAGTCCACTGAGCATGGGCACCAGATCCAAGGCCTCAGAAGGGGAGAAGATGAGGATGAGTCAGACGAAGACTATCACCATGTCTCCAGGCGTGGACACCAAGGCCATGAAGATGAAGATGAAGATGAGGCTGTCTCCACTGAGCATGGGCACCACTCTCCCAGGCACACTCACCATGGTCTTGGGAGTGAGAATCAGAGAGAGGACGAAGCAGTCAAGTTCAGCTACCATGTTGTAAGCCACCAACCCCAGGGCTACAACCCTGACAAGGAGGAGGGCTTCCCAGAAGAGTATATGACAGAAGTCCCTGGCCATCACCACCACAGAGCCTCCAAGCAGGAAGATGAGGACATTTCTGCTGAGTTTGGCCTCAAGGTTCCCAGCCACAGGCCACAAGATCAAGATGAACAGGCCAGCCAGGGTCACAGAGAGTCTGTCCAAGGTGACACTGGTCACCGGCCTCTGCAGCCCACAGGGGCTGGTTCTGAAGAACCAAGGAAGGAAGAAGGCCACAGCTCTCAAGACAGAGAGGACGGTACCGGGACGAGCAGAGGAGCTCACAGTGAGGAGGAGAGGGAGGAGGAGGATAGCCATGGCCTCCCCATGAGCCAGGAAGAGGAAGAAAAAGAGGAGGAGAGTAGGGAAGACAGAGCTGAAGTTCTGACTCCACTGAGCCATGGCAGAAAGCAGGAGGAGGAGGAGGAAGAGGAGGAGGAGGAGATGGAGCTCCTGGAAGAAACCCTGCTACCTTTCACCATTATCCCAAACCCCTTGGCTGGGAGGGAGGTAGCCAGAGAAGGCTCCAGTGAGGAGGAGAGCCGTGAGGTCACAGGTAAGCGACCTGGCTCTGTGAGGGTGGGGAAGGCAGTTAGCTGCCTGGAGTCACCGTCACCATTGCCCTCCTGTCCCCACAGGTCAGCACGATGCCCAGGAGTATGAGAACTACCAGCCGGGGTCTTTGTGTGGCTACTGTTCTTTCTGCAATGTAGGTTCCTAGCCCAGCCAGATATGCCCGGCATGCCCTGCGGTGCTGTGGGAAGCCTCTGAACCTGGGGGGGGGGGGCAGAAACAAATGCTTCCAGAACAAGCTGGAGACCAGAAGCTGGGGCGGGGAGGCAGCAGCAGGGTCAAGAAGAGCCAAGGTCTCCGCATGAGGCGAGGGTCAGCCTCTGGGTCTGCGGCCACGCACAGGCCCCGCCCTCCGTGAGTGGGCCACTTGGGGTTATCTTGGGACAGAGTGGTTTGAGAAGCCACCTGGAAAGGAGGGGACGGAGTTCAGACATGGGGGTGAGCATCTCCTGGGCTCGGGGCTCCTCTAACCAGGCTCTTCCTGTCCCCAGCGATGTACTGAATGTGAAAGCTGTCACTGTGATGAGGAGAACATGGGGGAACACTGTGACCATTGTCAGGTGAGACCTTCCCAGATGGCACCCAGATGCCTGGGCCGCTGGAGTGCCCGAGCCGTGGCCCTGGCCTTACTCCTATGCTATACTGGCCCTCCAGCTAGCCTCAGGCCCCGCCGGGTCCTGGCTCAGCTCTCACCAGGCTCTCTCCCTGTCCTCAGCATTGCCAGTTCTGCTACCTCTGTCCGCTGGTCTGTGAAACCCTCTGCACCCCAGGTGAGCTGCAAAGGGGGAGGGGCAGATACCACAGAGGGGGCCAAGCCCAGCCAACTGAACCCTGGTGGGGTTGGAGCCAGCCTGAGCTGCGAACCAGGAAAGCTGTTGACTGCGGTTGAATGGTTGGGTGGGGTGGGGGGTGGGGTGTGACCATGGCAAAGGTCATATGGGCAGAATGAAGCTGCCTCAAGCTGAGACGGAGCTAATCTTGAAGGGAAGAAAGTGGAAATGGAGGGTGGGGCGGCTGGCGAGCTAGAGGGTCCAAAGCTAGCAGGAATTAGGGGCCAAACACATTTCTGCACTTGCCTGGAGTGTTCCCCCACAATGCCTGTCCCAGAGGCCCCTCAAGCCTCTTCTCTCTGCTCCCTGACAGGAGGCTACATAGACTATTTCTCCTCTTCCCTGTACCGGTAAGTGTGTGGGGCTGGGTTGGGGGTGATGCGGTTTAAGGGACCTGCTTGGAGAAGGGCTGTGAGTTAAAGGGCTGTCCTGGGACTCCATGGTCCAGTCTAGGAAACGGGCAGGGTCATGGTGGCTAAATGGCCCCTGGGCACAGGCTAGCTCACCTTTGTGTCCTCTTGCCTAGAACCCTGGCTGACATGCTGGAGACTCCAGAGCCCTGACCTGGCTACAAGTTGTCACAAATGCACCTCTCCTGACCTGCCCACCTGACAAGAGCTCTGAATAAATGTGCTCCTGGAAACACTGTCCAGTGCGGGGTGTGTCCTGGAGGGGCGGGGCAAAGGACAGGCAAGGCATCATCCTCTCCCACAGGGCCGGAGACAGGAGGGCCTTGACTCCTTGATTCTGGAGGTGGTCAGTTTGTGTTCTTAACATCTTGAAAACAAAAGCTGGGAGTGGTGGCGCACACCTTTAATCTCAGCGCAGAGGCAGGCGGATCTCTGTGAGTTCGAGGCCAGCCTGGTCTACAGAGTGAGTTCCAAGCCAGCCAGGACTACAAAGTGAGACCCTGTCTCAAAAAAAGGCTGGTCAACACCAGAGCTTTTGAAACAGTAGGTCTTTACCCGTGATCACTGAGTAACGCCTGGGGCTGGGAGGCCGACTGAGAGTCGGGGTGGGGTGGGGGTTCCCCGCCGTCTGTCTGTCTGCTCCCCGCGCCACCACCCAGCGGCATAGTTGACAGAGGGATTTTCCCATGCAAACCCCGGAGCCAGAGGAAAACCGGGAACGCAGTCCTGCGTCCCTGACCCTTGGGCACAGACACTGCCATAGCACGGGGGCCGGGAGGCCCCGGGGGACACGAGACACGGGACGAGGGACAGGGGACCCCGCTCAAGATGACCCCCCAGGACCGGCGACCAAGCGCAGCGGGGCGGGGCTGGGTGGCACGAGGGGGCGAGGCTTGTAGCAGCGAGTCTCCCCTCCCCTCCTAGCGGATGAAGAAGGAAGACTTGGGCCCCGCGACTGGGCAAGAAAAAGGGGAGGGGCGGCCTCTCCCGCATGCGGCCGAGGGAGCCCCGCCCCCGTTCCGCAGGCGCGGGCTGCCTGGCTCCCATACCAAACGGACCAATAAATTACAAAGTAGAGAAAAGGGAGGCGGAAGTTTGGGGTGGGGTTTCTTCCTGTCCTCTTCTTCCTGCCCCCCCATAGTCCATTTCCTGTGGTTTGATCCAGGCCCCGGCCACTCGGGAGGTGGGAAGGAGCACGCCGGGCTGGCCTGGGTAGACGGTGCTCCCTCACGGTGGTCTCCGGCTAGACAGCACTCTAGAAAGGAGGCCAGACAGTTCCCAGTGAGAACCATCTGCCCTGAGTTCCCCGCGCTCCACCCCTGCGGAGTCTCCCCTGCAGAGTCTCACCTGCAGGCGCACACTAGCAGGAGTAAGTCCGGACGGAAACACCCTCTGCTCGTGAACTCCCAGAAGTCTGGCCTAGAGAGAGAGCAGCAGCCGTTCAACCTAGAACCCCTCAAGTGTTCCCCAGGGCATTCCCGACTCCTTAGCACCACAGACTGGAGATAGGGGCTAGATTGTTACAGTCAAATACGCTACCCCTGAGCCACATGGCAAGCTTCTCACGGAGGGAGTCTAGGAGGTTCCTTCACCAACGGGCTACATCCTCAGTCCCCTTTTTACTTTTCAAGAAAATCACCTACATTTATTTTGTATGTGCATTGGTGTGAAGGTGTCAGATCCTCTGGAACTTGAGTTACAGACAGTCGTGAGCTGCCCTGTGGGTGCTGGGAATCGAACCTGGGACCTCTGGAAAAGGTCTCTCTCTCTCTCTCTCCAGCCCCTCCCTTTTTGGGCCAGATCTCACTAAGCAGCCCTGGCTACCTTGAACTCACTCTTTTTGTGGCCCAGGCAGGTTATTGATCTTGCAATTATCTGTCTAACCCTGAGTAACTGGGTGATAGGCCTATGTGGCCAGTCCAGATCGCCCAGGGTTTTTATGAGCTCTAAATCCTCCCATGGGTCTTTCTACTTCCTGGCAGTCTGGAACCCAAATAAAGAGTCCAAGGGAGGCTGGCGGCGGTGGCGCACGCCTTTCATCGCAGCACTTGTGAGGCAGAGGCAGGCGGGTCTCTGTGAGGCCAGCCTGGTCTACAGAGCGAGATCCAGGACAGCCTCCAAAACTACACAGAGAAATCCTGTCTGGGAAAACAAAACAAAACAAACAAACAAAGCGCCAAGGGGCCAGAGGCAAGTTCATGTCCCATCCTGGGAGAGATGGGAGAATAATCCATTGCAAGGAGTACCTGGGTGACTGGAGTGTTGTGTTTGTCCACACATCTGGGTAGGACAGCCCAGATGGAAGGTTGTCCCAAGACATGAACACAGTCTGGACTGTCACAGTTGAGAGTCCCTACCTTCAGGCTGCAGCTTGCGGAGCGGGAGCCCCGGTGAGCCTAGGGCTCCTGCTGCAGCTGACCGAAAATTGGGGGGTAACATCTCAGCCGAGTCGGGGGTTACACCCCTGAGGTCCTTCTCTCGGAACATCTTCCTCCAGGATGGGGAACGGCTGAAGGACTTGCCACTGTCCTAGTTGTATGATAGGAACCCAAGGTGAGGGAGGAGTTCATAAACTCCCAGTCTGCCCCTCTCCATTAGCCACGCCCATCATGTAACTCATCTGCCAACCACAACTGGTTGGCAACATCAAGCCCCACCCTTAACCACTGATTTGTCAGTGCAGCCGGGGACCTCAGCGCTGTTGGCACGCCTACCTCGTCCAGCCGTCTGTCTGTGCCTAGGGAGATGAGGTTGCTGAATTCTTTCTCCAGCAGTTGCCGGGCCTGGAGAAGGAGGTGGGAGAGGGCGCAGTGAGCCAGGGTTGGAGCATGCAGGGGGAATGAGTGCCCTGCAGGGGGAATGCACAGCATGCTCCCGGCCAGCCAAGGCTCACCTGTGCATTCTGTGTAGGTATCTGCAGAAGCAAGGCCAGGTCGGAGTAGTCGAAGGTTTCATCCAGGGCCAGCAGTGCCCCGTGCACCCCACTCTCGGTGAGATTCGTAGCGAATTCCTTCAGACCGAGCCCAGATACCCAACCCATGACCCGTTCGTTGGACCACACCATCACATCTAGGGATGAAAGGGACTCAGCCAAGCATCTCCCAGAGGCCAGCCCTGCCAAATTAGCCTAATTCCACCCTCTTTTCCCTTACCAGCCATGATGACTCCACCCCTTGGTTAGGGACATGGCCAGTTGGGCCTGAGATTCCCATTTCTCTCCCTGTTCATGCCCTCATACTGGTTCTACTAATTATTTGTGGAAACAGTGCCTCCTAGTGTTCAGGTTCACATTCACTCTTGGCCAAGCCTTCATGCTGGCTCTACCTCCTGTGTGAAGGCGCCCCCAAGTGGCCAGGACCTGCCAATCTGGCATATAACTTCGCACTCATTTTATTCTGTGGCCACGCCCCCATGGTGACTCCACCCTGTTTCTAGTAGTTCTTGGAACATCTGGCTTGCCACTCCACCTGGCCCCCACAGGACCTCACCTCTGATCTGCGTCTGGCTCTCTTCCCTCCTCCGCTCCAGGTCCTTCCGGTCATAGTTGAGCCGTTTCAGGCACATGATACCATAGTGCAGACTAACCCTGAGCAGTAGGGGGAAACTGAGTCACTCAGGAGCCTTCTCATGGCCACTGCCGTTGCTCTTATGTCTCTCTCTCTCTCTCTCTCTCTCTCTCTCTCTCTCTCTCTCTGTGTGTGTGTGTGTGTGTGTGTGTGTGTTACCCACACTAGGCAAGGGCATCCCCGGTATACTGGAGCTTACTTGAATTCTCTTGCTTTGTCTCTCCAGGGTCTCTCTATTTTTCCTTTTTTGTTTTGAGACAGGGTCTCCTAAGCTTCCTGGGCTGGCCTTGAACTCTGGTCCAGGCTAACCTCAAACTTGTAACCCTCCTGCTTGGACCTCCCCAGCCGTCACTAGAGCCACATTAGACCTCAGTTCTCCTATGGACCTTCTTGGTTCAAGGAGCACGGAGCTAGAATTTCACAGAATTTCCCTTGGTTAAGGCCTCTCTAGGGGTGTGACTTCTTCCCCTTGGGCTGTCCCCGTTGGCCAGGTTGTCCCCACCTGTGGAAGCTGTCCACCATCTTGAGTTGGCCTCGAAGTTCCTTCTTGTTCAGATGGTCCAACATCCGAGCATCGACTAGTGACTCCATGAAGTAGCTTCGGTACTGGGGCAGCCCAAGGCTGGGCAGCCAGTCATTCCCCACCCACTCGTGGTTCATGTCGCCATATGCCAGGATCTGGGGCCGTGGGCAGGTGAGGGAGGGGGTCAGGCCCTCTTGTCCCTCCCCATATGTATGGGGAAGGGTAAACTTCCATCCCCACCCCACGCTAGTGTTCTCCCCTCCACAGAGCAATCTGGCCTCACCTCCGGGGACAATGGGCCAGCTCAGGGTCTAATGTAGCCTAGGCTAGCCTCAATTCGCAATGAAGTTTGAGGATGATCTTCAACTCTCAATCCTCTTACCTCCACCCTCTTGAGTGCTGGGGTCACAGGTGTGTACCCCGACTCCAGGTTGGTGCTAGAAGCTCTATATTATAGGCAAGGGCTCCAACAACTGACCCCCAGTTCTGCAGGCCTGCACTAAGCCCAACCATGACTACACCCGGAAAGTCAGGATTCCAAAATGACTTTCCTGTCACCCAGAGACAGTCACTCCCGCAATACCCAGAAAACACTGGTCAAGCAGTCCAGTTCAGGACAAGGCTATGCGATAAGCCCAAAGTCTTTTTGTACCTTTAGGGCCAGGAAACAGACCACAGCCCAACCTGGAACCTGCACCTCTGGCAAGCTCGTCAGGCATCTGGTCTCTGTCTTCTCCAGGCCACGGTGTATTATGTCCTCGCCATCTCTCACTTGCCTGGCCCACCTCACAGCCACCATAACTAGCATAGCTAGCACTAACTGGTGCAGCCAGCCCTCTCCCCAGTCCTAACCCTATCACCACCCAGCAGCTTCCTCCGGTTCCAGCAATCCCATAGTCCCCAGCTCCCAAGCAACCCACAACCGTGGAACGGCCCCGTGCGCCAGGCTGCAGGTGGACACGAGGGTTTCCATTTTGTCCCCCACCAAGCCACTATGAACTAGTTCACAGCTGCAGGCCAAGGTGCAGGGTTCCCCTCCTGGGCAGGGGCTTAGAATGTTCTGGCAAAGGGTGGGTCGCAGGGAAAGAGAAGGAC